TGCAGCTAGGCTATTAGGTAAACATTAATATGGACTTCATATTAATTATTAGCGCCTAATAGAAAAACTGCTGCTGAACTGAATAAACCGTATTCCTTATCCACATCTCAGCTGCTGTATTTCAGCTCTGTTCCCAGCCCAACTTCTTGCCATGTTTGTATTATCTTTATTGAAGAAAGAAGCATAGGTGATCTAGAAGGAAAAGGTAAACCTTTGCTGACCTCCCAGTCATTACTAAGTACAGGGCCATATGCTCCAACTTTCATTAGAAACAAATGAAAGGAATAAAAATAGCATTTTAATACAAAAGTGTTTTAGGCTGTACAAGAATTATGAAAAAATCCAATATTGCCTTGACAGCTAAAGAACGGAAAAAGGAGCAAACTGGGTCCTTAGAAATATTTAAATAAAAAGAACAACACTGCATCATTATCTTTCTCTTTTTATATATATGTTTAGTTCATTCTGTTCTTTGGTTTAGGCTTAAAATATTATTAGTTTAGAAAAAAAGATATATGTTTGGCAGCACTTATTTAATATATTAAAAAAAACTAGTTTAAAAAAATCCCGTTTGGTACTAGTGAGATGATTATTTTGGTGAGCCTATTGCAGCGTGTATGTATAATTCACTGCTGCTGTTTTGTTTGGTTTTTTCTCTGTTGCATTTAGGTTATCTAGTTTCAGATATAGTCTATTAAGTGGAGTATTTTTCAGTAGCTGAGGTTTTCCCACCTGTCTACCCAAAAACACCTGCAACATATGTTTGTGTAACCCTGCAATGCTTTGTGGTTTGGGCCTTGAGAAATTCCCCCAGAGCTTTTTGCTTATAAACAGCTGAGCAATTCATTTCTCTAATGACGAGTGCTTTTCCCTTGGCATTGAGGCAATAGCATGTTCACTAAAATAAGTCTCATTTTTCATCAGACATATTGAAAATCTTTTTTCATTGTTGTCTCTTACTCGAACCTTCAGATTTTGCTCAACATTGTGTTTGATTTTTTTTTCCTGTTCATAATGCTAAAGAGGAAGGAAAGGAAATACCTCGACAAAGAAGAAAAAAGAGTGTTGTAGAGATTCCTCCGCTTGCACCTGCATGTAAACTTTCACAAACGTTGTGTATTCAGATGGTGAAACATTACATTGCAGCAGTAACCTGTTTTTTCTGGTATGTTGTAGAACAGTCTGCCTGTGACTTCTGTCACACACAAGCGTGCTTTGCTATATCACGTCTACTCCGTGGGTAATGTGACGTGATATGTCTCTGGAGGCCAGCGAGGAAAAGGGTTATACTAGGGGCTTTGAGCATATGGAGCACGATCCTTAGCTGGTGGGAATTGCTTTTCGGCGGTTTATGGAAGTTTAGGGAATCTCTGCTGCGTTCGGTGTGATTCTGACCATGGCCTCAGCCCCCCGCCTAGAAGAGCAGGCACGGGGTATAACTTAGCTCAGCCCCACGTCCCTGGGGGAGAATCAAGCCAAACAGAAAGTCCCCAAGAACCTCCCAAAAGCCACGGGAATTGGAGTGAGTCAGTCTGGCGGTGGCTGGGAACAGAAGCAGCAGTACAAGGGTTAGGACTTCAGCAAGCAAATGCTGGGGGGGGGGCATGATTTAGGCAAGGAAGGGCTCAGAGGCAGGAGTACCTCGGAGATACCTGAACTATTTCAAGGCATCTCTTCCCTTTGGGCTGTGGCTAATACGTTTTGAAGAGACAAAGTCCAAAATCACATCAATTTCTGTGTGTGCTCCTATATCTGAATTCCATACATTGTCCTTTTAAAAGTATAAATTGGGCATTTTCTACCACTTGAAACTAAGCTCACTGTAGCTAGAATAAAGATTAGAAGAATCATAAAACCAGCAGACTGTTCCCACAAAATGGGTGTGGGGAAGTGGGATTTCTGGTATTGGCACAGGCAGCTTTTCTCTCCGATTTCTGCACTCTCTTTCCTTAGAAAGGGAAAAACATAAATGTGTTAATCTGTATAATGCCCTTACACAGTTTCTTAGGGAGATTCAACAAACTTCTAATTTGAAGGGTTGATTTCACTGTCATTTTGACATTATCCTTTTAAGAAAAAAGATTTTAACTGAGGTACTAGTCAAAATACATAAATTGAAAAAGAAAAGGAAAAACTTTACTTGTGTAAATAAGTAAAAATACAGATAGGATCATTCTAAATTGCACTGTATAGGAAAAAAATGTGGTTACTGCAAATATTTTAAACAACAGCACTATGTTTTGCTGTAAATAAATTTGTTTAGCCTTCAGTCCTAATACATGGAATACAATATAGGGGACAGCTCAAATTGGATGCTTAGAGAGGGGAATTATTTTAAAATTCATACGGAAGAGATATTGTAATTGTGTAGCTTTTCTTTTCTACTTCTTATATTTAACTTACTGAAATTAAAAGAGTATAAAATTCAAAGGACAATCACAGTGACATAAAGATCATGATTTTCATAAAACCGTATTTTTTGCTGTCTGAATTTCAGTTTTCAGAAGTATTTAAAATTTCTGTGGTGATACTTCACAGATACTTGTCTGCTAACATATATGTCAGGTTGGGTTTTTTTTAAATAATGAAATTTTCCAAAAGGATATCTCTGTAGTGTTACAAAATGAGTTGCAGCAGTAACCCTTGGAATTTACTGTCTTGCATTTCTAATGTTTTTTCAACAGCATTTTTTCTGAGGGCTTTTTCTTCACAGCATGCAATAGTACTTTAAACTGCTTCTTCCTTTGATACCTTTAAACCTCATAGGAATTTAAATAGGCCCCTGTGAAAGTAATGCTTGAGCCTCATTCATATGTTCTTAGATCATTATTCCTATTAATGGCTTTAAGTGCTTAGATAGTAGATCAGCCTTTCGTGTCTGGAATTGCTTGTCATTTCTGCATAAATATGTTTCAAGATACTGTTCCACATGATCTTTTCCTCTTTTTTTTTTTTTTTATTCAGAAGCAATGTGGTTTTTTTTTTTTAATTTATTGGGCGGTAGAAAAGAAATTTCAATGTTTGCTAAGTTTAAATAGGTACTGAGTTATTGCAAACAAATTGCAAAACTGGCTAGCATCTGGTAACATGAATTTTTCAAAGGGCTGCCTTATGACTTAGAAGTGCCCATTACTTTAGCCATCGCTTACTCTTCCACCTTGTTGAAATGGTCATCAAGACATGTAAAGAAAAATGTTATTTAATTCATGGGAGAAAAGTTACACTGTTTGATTACTCGCCTAGGAGTCGCAGAACCATCAGTTATCCTCATCACGTCAGTTTGGATTTGATTATCATAGAAATGCATTGAATTACCAAACTAGAGCAATAGTAACTAAAGCTGATTCATTGTTATTGCTGTCAGTTGATGAGGATTGACTTAAAAGCCATATGAATGGGTAGAGTTATGCAAATATTGTTCTTATAACAGGAGAAGGAAAACATAGAGCGGCCATTACAATGTGGGTGGTAGGATAGATGAGGATTTTTTTAATGCTTGTCTAATAGCTTTTAGTTGTTTCATTTTTTAATGAACATTACAAACAGGATGTATTTTAAAAATGTTTAATCTGTTTCCAGAGAAAGAAAATGAGGCATTTCATACAAGATTAAGTCTGACTGCAGGAGGTGATCTGGAAATTCCTAGCCTTAAATTTGACCCCAGAAATCATCGTGGCCTTTGATATCTACCACCTCTTTAAATCTTCTTCTCTCCTTTTGTGCACATGCAATATTTTGGTCTTTAAAACGCAACTCCTATGTCCTCCTCCAAAAATAAGATTTCCAAGGAAGCAGGGTTATCTGCAGTTATGTGGAAAATGAGAGGATACGGCTATGGGTACTCCAGTCTATAATGAAATCTGGAGGGAAAAAATACAACATGTGAAACAACTGAAGACTGATTCCATCAAAAATGTAATGTACTCTCACCTGTGAACGATTATTTCGGAAAGGTCATTGAGTAGTTCATTAAAACTGTATTTACTACTAGCAGGACTTAAGAAGGCAGATCAGAATATAAGGCAACAGCTTATGAATGAATAAACCTTTAAAGCAAATAATATTTAGAAAGTACTTAGGTCTGGTCTATGCAATACATCTGATCATTATGCAGAAATTTACCATTTTGTTTTCTCTTATACTAGAAATGAATTACTTTAAGCCATTTTTCTCTTGTAATTTTTATATATATTAAAAGGGCCTCTCTGTACCTCTCTGTTATTTTGGTTTCATCTGTATGCAAATTTTTTTACTTAAAAGCATTTACTTCACTCCCCCCCAAATAATGCATTCATTTGGTGGATTAAGTCCAGAAAGGATCATTTCAGAACTACTGAAGGCAGCGTGCTTCAGTAAAATAGTTTCATTGTGGCAGAGGTGGAGACTAACAAGTGGCTTGTGGTTTCAGTATTAATGATATAAATTTTATTATAGGAGATCAGTTCTTTATTCGTGGATTCTGAGTTGGGTGAAATTTGGTGAGAAAAAAGGCTCCGCCTGCCATCTAGTGGCACTGTGCGGGTTGTCCCCCTAAATCTAATTCTGGGCTTAACCGAGGCGCTGCTAGTGATGCATTCAGTTCAAAATGTTAGCTGTAGTTTCTCCTTACTATTACCGTTTTCTTTAAAAACATATCACTTAAGCTTGGAGGTGGTAAAATTCTATACCTGAACTCAAGGAAGAAATCAGATCGGTCCAGGCATTACTGATTTAATTAGAAATGTTACCGCTACAGCCAACAGCCACATCGCTGTGTGGAAAAACACTGATTTCTGTGAGCATGGAGTGGACTTACCGGTAACACTCAGTATTAAGTATTTTAAGAATACACTTATGTAACTGGCATTACTGCCTTGAGAAACCGAGATCCTGGGAAAAGAAATGATTCTTTAAATTTCTAATCTTCATTAATGAGCATACCTCTGGTCTTTGCTTTAAATCTCTCAGAAAATTCCAGTGAGGTATTCTTTTTAAATCTTCTTTTTTTTTTTTTTTTTTAGAGAAATCCAAGACCAGTGACTCATCAATTCCAACAAAATTTAGATTATTACAAAGCTCGTGGAGCAGACTTGATGAACAAAACCCGGTAAGCTATTTCTGAATATGTGTTCACTGAACTAAGAACATACATAAAAAAAATGTTTCAGAAGTCACTTTTATCCCAAACAGGAGTTACATAAGCAGTATTAGAAGCACATGTGTTTACTTCATGACATTTATTTTGAATCTTCACCTTGCCTATTATTACATGAAAAATGAAAGTTTTCCAGAGAGCATTGCAGTCAGCTCGCTGGCATTTTCTTAAGGCTAAGGACGTTCATATGCAATGACGTGTATACTAAAAGCAGGGCGTAAAACGTTGCCAATGCGCGGTCTGTAGCTGAACCACTTCCAATAATGCATCTAATCGCAGTCTGGAGTATCCACGTACCAGAAGCTGTGCAAGTTAAATGGAATTAACGTCAATCCAATTTGAAGTAATTTTTACTAAACTTTTTTGCAGCATTCCTCCCTTGTTTTAAAAATGGTTTGTATCAATACTGCTTAAATTCTTTGTCAAGGCCATTTCATCTAGAGGTCACAAGTGCAGAGGTACCCGTGCCCCGACTGGGTGGCCACAACGTGGGTGCCGATTGCTGGTGGGTAGTGGCTGCTGGTGGCTGAAGGGCAAGCCAGCGCAAGACACAAAGCTTGCTTCAATTTATGCTCTCACAGGGAGTTTCCTGGATTGCACGTGGCCCCAGCCATATACTGTGCTTGCTGATTCATAGGAACTTGCCAGCTTTTAAAGCTTTGCACCTCTGTCAAATTCTGTTTAAATCAGTTACATTAAAAGCTAGCTACAATTAAAATGGAGTGGATTAAAAAGCTCTTAAAAATGGAGAAAGGAGCAGAAATCAAAGCTGAGTAGAGTGACTGCAAAAGCATCTTTTTTTATTTTTTTTTTAACCAGGCTTTAAAGTTGGGGAAGGCTGTCAAAAATTACTGCATTCTATTGCATTTTCTTAATGTTTTTACTTATTTATTCTTTTAAAAAATGGTTTCAAGAGTTGCCTAAACTTGAAAAATAAGTTATTTGAAAATTCCAAAAGAAACATTTCAAGGATTTTGAAAAAATAAATAAATCATAAAGCCCAGACAAGAATGACACCTGTTGGAAACCTAAATTCTAAGGAAACAAATGTCCATTAAATCTGTGTAGGAAGGTAAGTTCATTGCACACATATATACAGGATACACACTAAAGGAGAGGAGAAATTGTTCAGAATAGTTCAGATAGAGGAATAACTGGGATAAATTTATCTCAACACAGTGACATTTAGAGTAGGTCAGATGTGGTAAATCTGTTTTAAGATTGGACTAAAGAGAGAACTGGAAGATATAACATTAGGAAATGTTTCTGCAGTGAGCAAAGAGATGGATTAGATCAGCTACCAGGTCTTTTTCATCTTTAATTCCACAGGCTCAATGATATATTTAAAATATCTTGGCAAATCTCTAATATATATTGCTTACTTTATCACATATAAAACTTTTTAATCCCTCATATTCATATATTTGTCTCTCATCTCTCATAATGGCTACTTACTGAAGAGAGAAATCCCTTTGAATAAGGCTTGCTTAAAACAAAACATTTTTATCTTAGCAGAAAACTGCAGAGATTGAATCATCTTCTACTGCTAGTTTAAAAATATACCATTCACAGTCAAGGTCAATGATGCTTATTGTGATGAAAGAAAATTGTTTGCTTCATAGATGGAATTCACATCTCTTTGGTACTCATATTTTTAAACTGGTGCCTTACTTTTAAATGCATCTGCTGATAACTACAATATAATCAATCAGCATTTTTCTTGTAATTGTTGTGCATGTCTGCTACATTTAGATGGCTAAAATGTAGACATTGATCCATGTTTAATGCCTGAAATCATCCTTTGTATTAATTTATCAGACATGTAAATGGTAAGATGTAGATACATTGTTCTTATTTTCCAGAAGCTCAGCTCAGTTTTAATGTACCTCCTCCAGAGATCTAGCACCTCGCTATTGTTCATTTTCTGAAGCTGTGATTCAGAGAAATTGCACGATAAATTTTACCTCAAAATACTTTCACTGAGACCACCTCTTGACAAGAAACTTAGATAGCATCATTATTTATTTTTCATGATTGTGTATGTGTTCTGAGCTGATGATTAGCAGTGTCAGTTCATAGCAGAGCCAAATCACACATAGATATTAAGAGCTACGATAACTATCCTTTCTAGTTCTCAAATAATTATAAAACATTATGGCATGTTATTGTTGAAAGCATTTTTTAAAATCATGTTTCAAACATAACAGCTCAGAGGAGATTTTTGGTTTTTATTGTTCCTGTAAAGTGAAGTTTCTCAAAAAGTCTCTTTCCAACCATCTGAAAAATGCAAATAAACCAACTTCTCCTGGTTTTTATTTATGTCAAAGCAGCAAATTAAACAGTGTAGAAAGAAAACTGATACTTAGTATTAAGCAAAATATAGCTGAAAAAAAGAAACAAGAAAGAAACAAGCTGATGGACACAAATACACAAGCATCTGTATCGGCTTTGTCTCCTGCATCTGTGGACCATCATGATTCCAATGATGCAGTTAGCTCAAAGCATCCAGTGGCTTTGTTGCTCGGGTAGCCTGTCAGAGAAAAAGATTTACTTCCAGTAAATATCACTTTTTGTGCAAAGTCAAAGGGGGTTTTTTGCTGATTGTCAAGACTCTAGACCTAGAGACAACACAAACCTCAGGCTCAATATGCAAGCCATTATCTTCTTTCTAAGGTGATGTTTCAGGTGAGTGAGTGATATATATACCACCCCAATCTTGGTGACTAGTTTCAGTAGACTGAGGGAAAAAAATTTGCCAAATATACTAAGGTTTGGATTCTGAATCTCAACCAAGTTATTACCGGTATGACCCCCAAAATCAGTGATGTAATTAGATTCATTGCAAACTGTTGATAACTGTTTGATACCTGCTAAGCCAGCACTTGGCATGTCTTCTTCCGCCTTCAAAGCTACAATCTTCGTTGTCTTTCTAGAATGCAGAAGACATTAAACAAAGGGCCCTGTGCTGACTCTTCTGATGCCACATATATGTAATGGAATAGAAAAAATTCCTTTTTTTTCCTTAAGTGTCTCTGCAATACCTCGGGGAACTGATTAATAACCAAATCTGCTAGGCAGTAGCAGAGTAAAATTTAATAGTAATAAACATTTTACCACGTCCTCTTCTTTAAAATCATTGGGACCGATTCAGTTTGCTTCTGAAACCATTTGGGACGCCTGCAAGAGTGTTTTACAGTTCTGAAGATGCTCTCTTTGTAGTGACTTTGTCGGTCATTCTCAGGTGGTTACAGAAAGACTTTTTGTAATATTGGCAGCAATCAATAAAATGGGGAGACACAGAACCATCCTGTAATTGTTATTCAGCAATCATTCCTTTCCAGCTTCCATAAATTGGGAAGCAGCACTTTGTCCCAGCCTCTGTGCTGCGGTTCCTCAAAAAAAATGCTACGTGCTGTCTTTCTTCATCACCAGTATGTGGCAGAAGGGCCCCTTACAGCTTGGGGCTGTATCTCATGAGTGTGCGGGCTCACACACTTTCTTCTGCTGTCTCTCATTTTAACCGTATCTATTCTGAGTCTGAACTGTCAGCTGTTGTTATTTTCTGAATATCTTCTATATGTGTGCGCGCGCGTATATTATGTATTCTAAAAAAAACATGTCTCGAGACAAATAGGGAAATTATATGAAAAACAAAATCAAAATTACTTTTCCAGGTGCTTGCGCATTTTACAAGTCACCCATATTAATTCATTTGTAGTTTATTTTTAGTTAAAATTCCCCAAAACATTGCAAAACTATTTTTTCCCCAAGTACAATGACTGTATTGTTTTTAATTACATGTATTTCTTCAAATTTTTTAAAGACAGCTATTTGTATCACTGAACTACAGATCAGCAAAATAAAACCTCAGGAGTAGAAAGCTCTCTGTGATTGTGATATATTTCTGTGAAGGGTATTTCAAGCATTAATTATATAAAACAGGAAAATATTGCATGAACAAATAGGAACAGCTTTGCTGCTCCCTGGGTTATGTGAACACTTCTACTGGGAATTAGAAGCTTCTTTGCCTCTTTATTTTAGACAGATTAAATGGTTCAACAATTTCCTCATTCTTAATGTTGCATATAACTGAAGTGAATTAAATAGCCACTGTAGTTAAAAATAAAAAGTAACAATGATAAGGATCATGATCCAGTATATGTGTTACATCCTGAAACCATTCTTCTGCCAAAATCATTTTAGAAATCAGGATTCCTGTTAAAAAGTGCTTGGCTTGAAATGGCTGGGCTAGGCAGAAGGTGAATTAAGAGCAAGAGACATATAGCTCTGCCAACCTAAAAATACAGTCTAGCGTTAGTTTTGCTTGTTGAAAGAAATGTTTGGGTTTGAGTTATTTTAAACATTTAAGAGAATTTAATCTAACAGAAGTAAATATTAAATCAGTCTTTGAATAGGAAGTGCAAAAAGTCAGTTTTATAAAGCTTTCAATGCCTTAGAGCCTAGATTGCTTTTTGTCACTCTTTGGTTTTTTCATTTAAAAAGGCAAATTAAGAAAATTTGTGCAAACTTGCTTTGTTTGGGGTCAGTCTGCATTTTTCAGGAAGAAAGGGCCAAAACAATTTGTCCACTACCAGTTGGGAAGAATCCGCACCACACACAGTCCCTGTGGTTCCTGTGTGTATTCCAGTGCGACTGTAGTAAAACACCTTCTTTGTAATGTTCAAGTCTCGGATTTTCTTCCCCCTTTTTTGAAGAACAATGCATGCATTGCTGTACCTGTCCAAACCACTGGCAAGGACGTGATGATTTCTCCTCTTTTTTCAGCGCCAGTGCTAAGGCTGCCCCACTGAACATTAACAAAGTCTCCAACAGCTTACTGAATTTTGGCCGAAAGCTCATTGCTCCGGCTATGGCTTCAGGCGGGGCTGTGGGTGCTCCTGCCGGCGGGAGCAGCTTTCCTCCCCCTGCAATGCCCATCAGAAGCACAGTGGAAGCCCCCCAGCACCACCAGCAGCACCACCACCAGCACCACCAGGCACAGCAGCAGAGGATGATGAAGTCCGAAAGCATGCCAGTTCAGCTGGGCAAAGGTAAAGGTGAAACGTGTGGCAGCGCCGCGACAGAGGGGAGCTTCGATGTGTGTCTGAGGAAAGTCCTTTTATTGATTTTATATTGATGGGAACATATTTGGAGGAAACAGAAAAAAACCCAAAATTTTGTTAAGCGGGACATCTATGCTAAGTACAACAGCCCATTTGCAAGGTAATACAGAATTAGATGTTATCTCAAGAATGTACAAATACTATAGGAAGTTTTGAACCTTTAAAAAAATATTAACCAGAAATTATGTCAGACATACGAACAAACTACACTGTTACCATAAACATTAGCCAATTAATTTTTCAGTCTTTTAAATGCAACATATTTTTAACTGTAAGACTAATGTCATATAGGGTTTTTCAGGTTATTGTCACAAATCCCATGCATAAGAATATTAGCTAAATATGAGTGAAGGAAGTTAGATCAATTACAGAGTAATTCTTAATAAAGAAAATCTTGTTCCCTTCAGAATGGGTGGAGCTTATTTGAGAAGCTATTTGAACAATAACAGGTATTTGCCTTTTAATGATTTGTGATGGCCCTCTGCACTTTCTCTGTTTAGTAAATACTGCTTCTTTTTCTTGAGCCTTTTTTTTATATTTCTTGAGGACGGTTTATTCGAACAACAAAGTCACAAGCTCAGCTTTGGTGGTTGTTTCCTGTACTCTGCCACGCTCAAGGTGTGTTACTGCTTTTCATCTTCAGACAATTATGTTCTTTGCAAGGCGTATCTAGAGTGACATGGTATCTGCTGCTTCTAGCAACTCATCCTAAGTAATGGTTACAAGTTTGAGGGCTGGTGCTCATTGCCCTGAACCATTACGTAGGATTGCATCGTATTTTTCACCAGATTTGAAAGTGTAAGAGAAGGGAAATAACACTTTGTAGCTGAAGTTGGTGTTCTTTCTTTTCCTGTAGCACCCATATGGTCCAAAGTTAGTCCTTTCATGATGCCTCGCATCCCCAGCAGACACTGAGGGAGCAGAATTGAAAAGTACAACCATTTTCTTGAAGCAGAGAGATACAGGCACTTCTGTAAGGGCCACTGCAGCTGATTGGCAAAATCCAGATACACAGCTTCCCTCAGAATCATAGAATAACCTTAGAAATTGCTCCAGCAAGGGTTTTACAGTGCAAATGTCAAACTGAAACGCAGTGAATCCTTGATGCAAACAATAGAAGTAAAATCAGGCATGGAACAAAATTATTTCCACAATTCTGGAGAGGATTTTTTGTTTGCTTTTTTAAAAAAGTTTTCCATAGTTCCCATAATCGCATTATTCTTTTTTTACCTTTTGGGTTGAAAAGTGGTCCTTGGGTGGTTATTTTCTTTCCCTGCTTAATATAAAAAAAGTGTACAATTTGAAGCAACTTCTGTAGGTGGAATCAATTGTAGCTTAATCTTGATGTAGCTGGTCAAGAACGACCCTGTTTACACTTGTATGTGCCAGCTAATATGTTGCATCATCCAGAAATGCACCTGACACTTTCCATACAATAATCCGGATAAAAAATTGTAGTTGTGTGTGGTCAGTGTCACGTACAAGCTGTGCACGTATTTCTGTATCAACAGAAGTATGGAGATTTGGTAAAGTTATCAAGAAATTGTGCAAATTTATGATGTAGGCCACAAAGCATTTTCATGGTAAGAGGAAATAAAACATACTGCAACGCTTCAGTACCTGCAGCTTCCTCTCACCCTATTCTGTCTATCCATATTTGGTACCACACTTGCAGAAGTAATTTAAAGGCAACAAAATGTAAATATACATTTTTTAATCAGTTGAGATGACAGTGAGTTTCGGTTTACGTATTAGTTCCATGCTGGTTGTTCCAGGCCTGTACAGTTATCAGTACAGTATATTGCCTGTAGTTGGATAGAAATTTTAAATGACAGCAGCTAACTACATTTTCAGGTGCCATAATTTATATTTTTAAAGAGAAACCCAAAATGGCAAAGGAAATATAAAGCCTCTTAGAGGCTGCCCAGTGAATTCCCTCCGAAGTAAGTTTAAATATAGGAATAGCTTAGTAAAAAAAAAAAAAAATCCCTATTTGCAATGACACTGTGGCAGAGACAGGCTAAAAAGACCCTTTGGGAGCATGATGCAGATACCTTTGTAAGCAACTCAGCACCATCTCCATCACCTCTTAAAAGTGAGAATAAGTCTTTTCAGTTCTGTGCTGAAGGACAGCATCACCACCGCAAGAAAGTGCTGTACAGCATCTTCAGTGAATGAGGGCACTCCCCACAGCTCTCAGAAGTTGCAGGTACTTCTATCCCAGGCTTTAAGCTTTAGGATTTAGAATATAGCCATGACCTGAGAAGCTCTGATCCCCCTTCTGTTTGTGCTGAACTTTTTATATGCCTTTTTACCTTCTGCACTGGCTTTTTTCAAACTCTGGATTCTGCCCTAGCTTTTGAGTATCTAAAAGCTATTTGGCAGGGTTTGTAACTAGAAGGCTCCCAAGTTACTGACTAGCTGTCACTAATTGTCTTACATTCCTGTTCTTCACTGTGTTTTCAGCTCTCCTCAGCCTCCTGGAGCTCGGTTATTTAGCTGAGGTAGGCAGAGGCACAGATTTAGGAATTAAATAGATAGATATTTGCACTTAAAATTGATCTAACACTCATGGATGCTCAGTTGAACGGTATAACAGCCCAAAGTGCTGTAAATCTGACAGGCATCAAGTCATAAAAGAAGTCATCTATTTTTCTCATATTGTATTAGTCCTTTCATATTTTGAATGCTCAGGTAGCGCTGATAAATTAATATGTAGAGGGTTATAAGTTTGAAGAGATTAAATTAATTGCCTGATCTACTTTTTTATTAAGTGTGAAGAAGTCCTTGGTAACAAAATATCTCACAGGACTGGCAAAATAATCCTATCCCAGCTTTAACAGCTCTGTTTAGACAGTTACCACTCACGAACCAGCAGCAGTGACAGGTGTGACTCGTACTGCCACCTCCAGGGGTAGCGTGTGGTGGACTCTAGAGGAGGGATGGTTGGTTTACATAATCGATAGTAATTATTTCTCACTCCGAAGTTTTGGTCCGTGCTGAATTTCTTTAAGAAAAAAACGCATGTAATTTAGATAATGTAAACAGAAAATGAGTGGAGGAATATGAAAAAAAAACATAATTGCAAGCCTGTAATTCCAGATGAGTCTTCAACATTACAAATCACAGTTGAACAAAGTATCCAGACACCTAATTGGAAATTCAGTTCCTCCTAATATTATATTAATCCCATTCAGCCTGTCCTCAGCACAGCAGAAGATTGGGTATCATTGCTGATTACTTATGCAGGGTAGCCTGCTAATAGAAAAGGGATTAAAATATTCCCTTGATCCTACACAACGCAGGAGTTCATTGGCACAAAGGTTGAATCCAAGTCTCGAGTTCATTGGATTGTCAGTTGAGTTCGTTGTCTTGAAAGACAAAAATATTGATAATGAAAAAATACAGGAAAAAAGCAGAATTGTTGCCCTTTGTGTTCCACTGGATTCTTGAGCGTTCAGAAACTGGACACTCTTTGATTATGAAACGGCAGTGTGTTGCCAGAAAAAAAGCATTTCTCTTTCACTTCTTCCCTGATAGTGCCAGATACAGTTTTCCTTCTAGGTCCCTTCACGCTGAAACCCAAAAGGTTTTTGATTTGAATGCCACTTTATCACAAGGACAAGTTAGAGGACCAGTTTGAAGACGAAGTTCTGCCAAACCTGTGATCAGCTCTTCAAAGGGCTTCCAGACTGCTGTTTGGTTGTACGAGTAGATGCTTCTGTGGTATTTATTGTAACACGAACAGAATTTCCACAGCCACCGAATATGCCCTAAAGAAGTGATCTCCGTATTTAGAATTATTTATGAACTGTGTCTAGAAAACGAGTACGCTTTTTCAGAAGGAAAACGAAGTTGTCCTTACTGATAGCAGAACTGACTAGAAAATAAAGGAATAAACCACTGATTAACGAATGCTTTTATTTTTTTTTTCCTTTTAAAAAAACATACGTATTCTTAGGCAGTTAGGGAGTTTTACTGACGGTAAGAACGTGATGCTCCCAGACCGGCAGAAGGACACTGTCCGTGCCGAGTACCGGGCACAGCACGGGTGTGATCGCTTCAGTTTAGACGCTGGTATCGGTGGGTCTCTTCAGCCAAAACACTGCTTTCTTGCACGTCTCCGGCTGCAGCGTGTCACGCACCGGTCATCGACGCCTCCCTGCCCCTAGGCCGCTCGCTCAGGACGCCGCTCGTGTCGGAAGCAGGGTCTTCCACCTCGAAACGCCGGAGGTCGCAGCTCCCTCCCTCACCGGCCTGCGTTCCCTGGGGAAAGCCACCCGCTAACGCTGCTGTTGTTTGCTCCCCAGGCGAGGCAGGCGCCGGCGGCGAGGC